AAGAGCATTAACAAGTATAAGTTCTTGTAACGAAGATGAGTTGAGAAGAGTGACTTGCGGGCTTTTTTCGCTCGTGTTAGAACACGAACTCCGCAACACGGGGGCAAAAAACAGAAGTTGCCACTGGGAAGTAAATTCCATGTTATTATTTACCAGCCAACGGAGGAATTTTCAAACAACATTCAATCAGAAATCGGCAAGAACAAGGCGGTGCAGATACCGCTGATACACGGTTACAGATCAAGATAATAAATTTACCACCACTCTGGGCCCGCAATTTATAAAGTTCGACTTGCCCTAAAAAGCAGATACTTCTACTTCTTTCAGTTTCTAGCCACTGCCACTTTCACACACTTTTCTTTTGGCCAAAGCTCCTAGTTGTGTGCGCTCTGCTTTTTGTTCGGCTCCTGGGAGAAGCCGTAAATATGAAAACAGAAAGCAAGAAACTTTATTTGGGTTAGCGATTGTTTAAAAATGCATAAGGATGTGAAACTTGGAATAGCTGAAAGGAAATAGAAGCCCGCAGGACTTTGGCCAGAGGAGCTACAAAGGCCCGAAGGAGAAAAGGGGGTTTTGCAGGAGCTCAAATCGTAAATGGAGCTAAAATTGTCACAGAAAAAAAAGTCCTCAAACTATACATTTAAATTTCTCTTGAAAAACAATTTTAAATCCATAACAAAGCCATATTTTTTTTTACTGTGCAGAAAATCTACATCCAAACAGATGTTTCTTACATCCACAACGAGAAGATCTCGGCTACAAAATAGGTAAACCTAAGAAGCAACCTGGATGAGCCCTTAAAAGAAGTAGACACACTTGCAATTTCAGTTTAGCTTATTTCAACAGGTTTAGGGATTTGCGACATTAACTTTTCCCCCATAAAGGTGTCCTGATTTGAATTTAATATGCAAATTAAGCGTCAGCTTTGGGTTACTTAAATCAAGTAAACCGCCCACCCACTCACTTCGCATTCACCTGCAAAAGTTTTTAAATTAAAAAATTATGGATGGCCAAGTAAATGGCTTTCTCGGTCAAAAAGAAAAAAAAGATAAATATTGAGACAGTCGACAGGTGGGTGCAGTTTTGCAATCAAGATGAGTGGGCGAAAGTGGTTCAAGTGGTTTTGTGATTGCGAATGTAAATGCAATTTCATTAAATTTAATATTTATTGGTTGTCATTGAGCAAATTGCAGGTAAATTGAGGTTTATCCTAATATTTCCACACCGCTGATGGTAATGTATGTAGTAATTTCGCCAAGATAATGGACGGAAATCATCATTAGCCTTGAACATTATATTCTAAATCTTAAAATGTATCTTCTTTTCCGACAAATTTTCAACTATTTTTGTAACTTCTAAGAATAATGCTCAATAAGAAGAACCGCTTGAACAGGTTTCCAGGGAATTCTGCGCACAGAAGCCGTTTGATGAGCATAAATCTTGATATCGGAACATTATTAACGTCAATTAATTCTAACTGTTCGAGACGAAGGCCATCCATTAAGCGCTGAAGCTGCGAGGTGGATTTCAGGGGGTGGAGAACTCACCTGGAATGGATGGATGGATGGATAGCTGGCATTTCTCCGGAGACCCTCAACCTGTTTCTCCCCCCAGCTTTTCTGCAATCGATACAAGTGGCTATTCGGTCTGCTGTATTTGTGTTTTTAGTGCTTTCCTGGTGGCCCGCTGTTTTCCCTCTTTTCCACGTTGTCTCGCCTCACGATTTCCCAAATCCGATTATTATCAAGTCTCACGTGAGTGCACGCTTTGTTGCTGTTTATTTTTATTTTTACCTCTGCCCGGCTATTGTGCTTTTTACAGTTGCCTTCTGCTTTTGCTTCCTTGGAAAATTGCTTTGAACTTGAAAATTTCCCACGTGACGCGACGAGAATCAATCTCTGCTTCTGGCTTTTCTTTTGCCCTCTGTTCGTGTCACATGTGCAAAGACACCCCTTGCGAATTTTCCCCTGAGTTTGCCCCGCACGAAAAGCAGCTGCACTTTGCGTGTCATTCGTCTAACGGTGTCGTATTTTCCCTGCTTTTCCTCCTTTTGATTCTTGGCTTAAACTTGCCTTGCTTTGGTTGTCATTTCTCAGTCTTTTGTGGCAAGTGTCGATTGGATTTAATTGGACAGTTTTTTCGTGCATTCCATACCATATACCATACCATACCATACATTTTTCGAGAGGCTAAAAGGCAAATTGTAAGATTTCATATTCGTGGGTAATTTCTTTTATTGGTTAGTAATTTTTGTGGGAATTTCTGTTGGCTTACAATTTGAGCTAAATGTTAAACGAAGTTTGAATCGTGGTTAAACAAATTAGCTGGGCCATTTCTTGGATGTTTTTGGCATTCTTTTAAAAATGCATTCCAATTATCTCGCTCTGTAAATGAAATCATAAATCAGCACAAACTAATTGGAGCTCTATGGTGAATTTAACCGTAGCTTTGCCAGAATTGCAAAAGTTCTCTTGTGTGGCACTCGTTGCTGAATAAAACGTAGGAATTATGCAGCCGCATTCCGGAATTTCCATTAGCACTCGTTGTAGCTTCTGTCGCCGGGCACTTTCAGTACAACAAGTTCGTGCCATTTCGCAGATCTTGGCAAGTCTTTGAGCCAATCCATTGCGTAGTTTACAGTGAGTCAGTAAAAAAACCCAAACAAAGTGATTTTCGTGGTGCACTTCCCTTTTTGTTTTTTGCAAAAAAGACCAGGTACAGTGAACACTCTGATCTGCAGATGGCACTTACTTTGTGAGCACGTACCAAACAGAGGGGAAGAGCAGAGTTCGCGAGTCGTAAACTAGGTTTGTTAACGATTGTGGCTCAGAACGAGACTTGGCCAAGACCGGTGGCAATTAAAAAGAAGTTAGCACTTGGCCGGAGGAAAGGGCGTCAGTTCGTGGATGTCAAGTTCAGGGTTACATCAAGGGCCCGGGAATTACCTGTCAGGGTCCAAAGACAAAGTGAGTAATTAATTTGCAGGCGTCTCAATCCATCAAATCTTTTGTTTTTCCTCTGATGAGAGTTCATGGGAGTTGCGCTGGTCTGTGTGGGAATTTTACTTTTGATTTAATGAGTTTTTTATGGCTTGCTCTTATAGGATTGAATTCTTTGTGTAAATGGTTCAATGAGCTCTTGGATAATTAATGGGCAATTAAATCCTCGATTTGATTAGGGTTCTGGGCTTTTTATTTAAGTTAAGACTAGTAAATTAAGGATTGAGATAAACCGTTGAATTCTGGGTATTTCAATAAACACATCATTTTTAATTTGTGATTTTAAGAGTCATTTATAAAACTACTCGGCTTCATTTAACGATTAATTCTGCTCAGCGATTAAAAGTTCGTAGTGTAATTTATTAGACTACTTCTCTAAAACAAACTTTTAATGCATTGTTTTTAACACTAAATTTTCCCCCTTCACTCTAAAAGCCATTTATAAGGCTGCCGCACTGCATCATCCTCATCATAAGCCTACTGTGCTGTCATATGGTTTTTGATGATGATGATGATGAAACCTAAGCGGCTTATGTTTAGAAAAACCCCAAATGCAAAAGCCTGCCAACTCTCGACTCCCATGTGGCTGCGTAATCAAATGCATGTAATTTGAGTTTAATGAGTGTCAAAGTTATTAAAAATCATTTGCTCCGACCAGTTATGGTGGCTTTTCTGCCAACGGCTTTGGCTTTCGGCCAGTCAGCAGGCCAAGCTTTCGGTCCATGAATGGCAGTGGCTAACACAAAAGTTACAAAATCGATTCGAGACATTTTTGGGTTCGTCATCGGGCTTAATTACTGGCCAAAACTCATTCTGCTGCCAACGATTCTGAGTAAATGAAATGTGTCAATAAATTTAAATGGCGGCGAGACCGAAATTGAGTTATTAGAGGGAGGCCGCTAAACCGAAGTGAGATCTTTTAACAAAGTTGTTTTGGTGTCAAAGACAGCAGCAACAATAACAAACAATGATTACAGTCGACAGTGTCTGCCATAAGTTGTGCGACCAGTTTGCTGATACTCTACGGAAAGCCACTTGAAAATTCTTGGAAAGCCGATTGTGTTTACATAACTTAATATAAGCTGGAGTTGCTTTATTTACTTTGTTTATTCAAGAAAGGCCAGCGTTTCCAACGAAATTAGGGGAATTTGTTATGGCTAGCAAACTATGAAATTGTAGATTTTGCTGCCTTGATTCATACGTTTCACAGTGGCGGCCAAACTGGTAATAAATTTTAAATCCACAATTGATATACAAGTGTACGGCAAGTGACTTTTGGTTAATTTGCCCACCAGCCATATACTTGGCCAGTCCGAATCTTCGGTTGGTGGCTGGCTGGATTGGTCTGGACTGAAAATTGGCAAATGTAATTTTTATGATCTGTGTTGTGGGCGTTGCACACCCACAACCCCGGCACTTTCCCCGCCCCCGAAGGCCACCCAATCACTCTGATATTGATTTGATTGTGCGCCTCTGCTGCTCTCGGCTGCTTACATGGCGTATGATTGATGGGCCTGTGGCCACGAAGGAGCAGAAAACGGCGAGGAAGAGGACGAGGGAATATGGCAGTACCCTGCCATCGCTGCTGCCTGCTGTTGGCTGGAGATATAAATTGCATTTATTGGGAAAATTGACAGAAAAAATATTTGCACGTTAAATAGAAATTAATCAAGAAAGCGAAGTTGAAGCAGACATCGCAAAATAGTCGACTCGAAGATGCCCTAATAAAAGGGATCGAAACATATAACAACATCATTAGCCTTGATAAAATAAATATTATTAAAAACTGCCTTATAAATCAAATTTTAAAAGTAAAAAAAAAATTTTTTCAGTTTACTTTAAAACGCAAAAAAAAATATTAATGTTGGGTATCAATATAATTTTTTTAATAGTCTCTTATTGAAATTTTATTATATGCGATTTCCAATTTAAAAAATTTCAAATGTAATTGTTAAAAAAATGAAATACCTAACCAGTTTCTTTTTAATTTTTTTATTACAGCCACCACATGTCTGGCCCTACAGTTTGAGCTGCACTGGGTTCTAAGCCACTCGAGGGCAGAAGGAAAGGGGTAAGTTGATTGGCTCGTGTTACTCACTGCTAAACGCAAAACCCATAATTTTTTCGCATTATAAATGTATATAACTTACATATAAGAGTCGTTACTTTTTTATGGTCGTGTTTCCATGTGTCCATCTGTATACTTGTCGGTTGTCATTTGTTGTTTTGGTTTTAAGATTTGCACTGCATTCGGAAACCGGTTGAATTGGTTTCGTGGTGATCGCAGCATTTGCATAAAGTTTTGTTCTGTTTTTCTTTTTAATCGTTGTGTCTGTGTGATTTTTCTCCAACCACCAGATTTTAATTTATTTTCATTGATTGCACATATACAACTTTTGACTTAATGGTGGCTCTCTGACGTAATTCGAGCTGCTGAAATTAGCAAAATAGTCGTAATACTTACCTTATGGACTTCTTTTAACGATATCAGGGTTTAAAGCAAGTTGTGAAATGGTACGATTTAATTAATAGATCTGTAAGTTTAGTTAGTTGGCTAATTGATTTACAATTTGTTAAAACCACTATACTGGGCGTTAAGAGTGAGTTAGTTAGTGGGTATGTGGATATGAACACCTGCTTAAGAAGGTGTGCAATGTTTATTAAACTATATTCAAAAGTTTTTAATTTGTATGTTTAATTCTAAAAATTTAAAAGGTGTCTTTACTTTTTCTGGTGTTAAAAACCATAATATACTCCCAAAGAGTTCGATTTTCGAAGCCACTGGTGTAAATGTTGGGTTTGGCAAAACTTTTGCCGATAACTAATTCCGAACTATAACCAAGTAATTTTCATCAAATCAATGCCAAGATGACATTGCTTCCTTTTCTTTGAATCGAATTTATTTGCTATTTTTTGCGATTCCCCACAGATTTATCTGATTCTGAACCAACTTCTCTTTTTTTTCTGGTTTCGAACAGGAAGTGGATGGTTGGCCACCTAGCTAAGTGGGTTCTGTGGTTTTTGGGTGGCGCGGTTACGGATGATTCGAAGGTAATTTGTTGTCGGTCGGTGGGCCTAGACAAAGGACTGATTGCCGGACAAGACTGACAGCAGGGGCAGCAAAGGGTTAAGCTAGTGCCAGTCTCCACACATACTCACAGTCGACGAGTCCGGGCTAATTCTGGCATTGTATTAGCCAATTGTGGTGGCTCTTCCTCATTCGTTTTCCCCGGTTTCTATCTCCTTGCGATTTTTATTTCAGTTTCAGTTTGTTTGGCCAGCATAATGATGCCACTTGATTGAAAATGAACGTGACTTGAAAACAAGTTTCGGGGTTAAAGTTTTCTTGTTTTGCTTTTCTCTCGCCTCGTTTCGCTACTCTGCGGTCTTCTCCACCAATTCTACTGTTCGAATAAACAGAAAATAGCAAAATAAATTAGCCAGGAGATGCTCTCAGCCATGAACTTCTGTGACATGTTTTGCTGCCTCAGCTTTATTTACCAACGAGGAGCCATGCGAAATTGCATTTAGTATTATTTAATTAAAGTTTTCTCTTCGCCGGTTGGATCTCCACCGTCTTGCTTTCGGCTCGGATGCGGTCTGGGCGCCATTTTGTTGCATGTTTCCTAACAGAATAATGTGCGCATTTCCGTTTCCGGCACACGCAACAGTGCACCGAGAGCCGTGAGCGTTGTAAATGGCGCGTTCGATTTAGCAGGGGAACAGTGGAAAATTCAGAATATGTATTAATCGAATTCTTGTAAATATTCCTTCATTTTAAATAATAAGAAATAGTAAATAATCTTATTACTTATATCAAAACAAGTACATAATTTGAAATCTTTTTCAAATGATCGAATATAGTTTTTGCATCACAATTCCTCTTTCATTATTAAAAAAATTTGAATCCTATTTATCCATGGTTGAACACAAACGGTTGGGCTTTCTTTAAATCGAATACTTAATCGTTTTTCCCATTAAATCCCATTTATTTCACTGTCCACAGCTCTGGATGGTGGAAGAAAAATAGTTTGCTGTTATTAAGTTTTGTGCGGGTGAATTTTGCATTCGTTCTGTTGATGCCGCAGTAGTTGCTTCTGATTTTGCAGCAGTTTGCTGCTGCCGTTGCCAAGGCAAATTATTGTAGCATCCACAACAAAGTGTGCCACAATAAGTGGCTACGCAAGGACCCCTTCCTGGCACCCTCCGCCCTTCTGTTCTCAACCCATCAGCAATCCCCACAAGATTGAGCGGCAAGCCATTGCAATGACAAAAGTAATTTGCTTTTAAAGCAGCACAAACTGCAGCATCGGGCAAAGGCAATTTAAATATGCATGGGCTATTATGCATAAGCGATGCTGTTTCTCCATCCTCGGATATTTCTGCACAGAGGCAAAATTTGTACATCAAAATAATCTTGATCGAAGGTTATCAATTCGAAAGAAGTGTTTCTCAATTTTGGTTATTTTAACTAGCAGATTATATAATTCGGTATAAAAAATCAGTAGATAACAAACATACCAATTTCTTCCAGTGTACTTACACTTATTGGTGTGTACCACATGCAACTCCAGTCGCATTTAGTTGCGCATTCGAGTAAACCCAATGAGGCTCTCCACTGACCCACTAAAGTTGCCCGTTTGGTTCACGGACTCCAGGGACCCGGTGCTGTAACTAATTCCGAGTTAAGCCCATTCGATGTGGATTATTTAAAACTTAATTTACATGGCCGTCCTCTGCCCGCTTAAACCCTAACCTTTAGCCCCTCTCGGTCGCTCTGGCGCTCGTCTTGACCCCTTCTCTTTCTGGCTCTAAGCCTGGCTGACAACTGGTTCGAAACGGAGCACTTTGTCATTTTCAGTTTGTCACACTTTTGCCCAAATAAAATTTCATCGCCTGTCATAAACTCTTGAGAGGCAAGTGTCACAAGCACTTAACTCAAGGAGGTGCACCGGGTGAAGGAGGTGGCGCCGAAAGTGTAAGAGAGACAGCAGTATGGCGTGGTTAGAAGTGAAGGAGACAGCACTCCAAAACTGCTCAAGTGGGCCAGGTCCAAAAAAGAAATATGCCAAAGAAAATTCGTCATGTGCCTAGAATCAAGATACCACTAGAGAGCTTCATATGAAAGGGATAAAGTGCGACATTCATTGTAGTATTGCGAGCAATTGCTAAAGTTTATTACCAACTACACTTTAAAATCAAGTATACGATTTATTTTTATTTTTTATAACTATTCATTATTAATTACAGTATGTTGAGATTGACATCAGACAAGTATAAAAATTTTAAGAGCAATAAAAATAGCAAAATTAGCCAATAAAATTGGAAACATATCCTTTCTTAAAGCGGCTTTTCCTTTCATCTTTCTGCAATAAAACAACGACATCACTACCTGGGCTATCTTTTATATTTACTTGCTGTAAAACCAATTTATGTTTACCTCACCCAATAATACCTTTGCGGCTGTCAACAATTGATTCCGTCATAAAAAGAGAGCCATAAAATTACTTTACACCAATAGATAACGTGCACCTTATGCAATAGTGTTTTCGCACAGGGTCTGGCAAAAAAGTAAAGCGTATACGAAAGTGGCCAAACCAAATAACTGTCATGGCTAAGACAATAGAAAGGACAGACAACAGACAGGCCAGACATCCCTAGATATATACAAAGAGGGTGGGTAATAGCGATCGAAAGCGGGGAGCACCAAAAGTTCTTAGTTTGACAGCCGCAAGACAGCTGTCTGTTCGAAAAAAAAACAAACATTTACGAGGGGTAGCGAAAAAAAGAAGCGAACACATAAATTTTGATTTACTTGCCTGACAGTTGCTCCCCGAATTTCACACGCACCCCACAACCATCAAAGGTCGGGCACAATTTTCCTATTAGTTCAAGTGAAAAATCGCTGCAAATCGGTGAATAGACCAAGGGGCAAAATTTACTGACCAGTAAATCAGGCAGACCTTCCATATGCCGCAGAACATATATTTCATGGCAGAGCATAGAGTATTTCAAAGGCCCATTATGGGCTAAAGTATGGACCAGCAACTTTTCCAATTAAAAGCGAAATAAACTTTTGCCTCCGGAACTCGCTGGCTGAAATTTCAATTAAAATCATGACTGGCTAAGCTGGAATAGCCAATAAAAAGACCATCGAATGATATTACCGATTTACCTGCCTGCGTTTCTTGTCTTTAAATTAAGTTGAATGACTTTGGTGGGACCACGTGGCGTATACTTAAGTATCGCAAATCGTTTCCAATTAAAGTGCCAAGCCAAAGGCAAAAAATCTTTAGGCTTATCACTCTTTTGGCCTTCTCCACTATCACCATTAATACTAATGCCTTGGTCACCTTCGCTTATCATAAACAGAAGTCTGGCGACGACACTCAACTTCAGTTTTTTTTTTGCTTTTATTTTCGTTTCGTGGCGTCTTTGTTGATAATTTCACTTGAACAGCTTGGAAATTTGTAGGTTTGATTGACAGCCGAGTGCCGGCCAAGGTAAACGGGCCTGTTGTCTTCGCGACTCACTTGTTTAAACGCAGTTTTCATTTCTCGTATTTACTTTTATTGATATGCGTATTTGTGCTTTTAATTTATGTATTTCGATGGAGTTTTTTGACCGTGACATATTTTCGTATTTGTTTTTGAGCGTGCCGTTAAAAACGGGGGCAGTGAACCAGGGAAATGTGATGTTATCTGTACTTAATTTTACTTTTTGGAGAACATTTTACTGGGAAAGGGAAACTAGTAATATTTCGTTTAAATTTTTTTGAACGAAAGCCTAACATAAATATTATTAAAATTCGTGAAAAAGTACAATTTATTGCCAAGAATTTCAGGCAGATATATCAAAAGGGAAATAAATAAAATGATTGGGTAATAATTTATGTTTTTCAAAAATGTTTACTTGGAATTTTAGAGATTTATTTCAAGTTAAAATTAAAGTTCAATAAAAGAAATAGTAGGAATATTTATATTTATTTATGAGATTTGATTGTATTTTTATTTACAAATTAATAACTCAACAAGTCTTTGTTCAATTTATATATACTCTTTCATTTCATCTTTTACAACCTTTTGCTCTTCTTAAGAAGGGGTATTAATGTTAACATTTAGCTGGACCCCTTTCATCTTTTATTAAAAACACCCACAACTTTTATCCTCAATTAGGATATATATCTTTCTCTGCGAGCGTTTTCCATTTTACACTAGTTTTCCCGCATATCCCGCCCCTTTTCGCCCCCAAAATGCCAACACTAACTAGTTGAATGCAATCAACACGCTCGCAATTAAATGCGACAAAGTGCGGACTTGCAGATGTGGTTGCTGTTGCTGGTGGGTAACCCGTTCCGCCCACAGTTCCAGTTACCTCAACACGTCCCGCCCCGCCCCCTTTTCCACCTCCTTCAAAAGCGACAACTGTCAGCGCGCCTTTGGCACACATTTACATGCTGTACACCCCCTTTTGCACCTCCTCCTTTCGGGGTTAGCGTGTGAATTTAATTTGTGCATAATTGCAGTTGCAACTGCCATTGCAGTGCTGCAGCCATAAAATGTCAATATCAAACTGTAATCAACAACGAGAAATGTTTTCTGGGACCAAACTGTTTTCTTTTTCACTTTGTCAATCACTGCAGAGACATAGACATAAAAATGAGGGGCTGTAAAAGCTGTGCCAATTGAGTGCTAATATGAAGTGCGTAGGAAAACAGCAGTCGGGATTTCGGAAAAGTAAACCAATTTAAAAACAAGAAAGAAAGCAAACTTCGGCAAGCCGAAGTTCATATACCCTTGCAGCTATTGCAAGAATTAAACATTTTTGAAAACATTAAAATTATGATTTACTTTCGTATATGTTTAAAAACATTGAAGCTATGATGATTTGCAGCTCAATTATTTGATAGTTATTTTATATATTTTTTTATTATTTTTAAGGGAGCTATATGATATAGACGTCCGATTTTGATAAAATTTTAACCATAATTCTGAAATATTTAACCATTGCTATATGTCGAAGAACTAAACAAAAAATTAAAAAACAGAAAAGTTATAATATTTTTTCATTTATTTTTCCGATTGTTCCTATGGGAGCTATATGATATAGTCGTCCGACTTTAATGAAATTTAAACCGTAAATCGGAAATATGTAACCATTACTAAATGTCGAAGAACTAAACAAAAAATTAAAAAAAGTTATAATTTTTTTCATTTATTTTTCCGATTGTTCCTATGGGAGCTATATGCTATAGTCGTCCGATTTTGATGAAATTTAAACCGTAAATCGGAAATATTTAACCATTACTAAATGTCGAAGAACTAAACAAAAAATTAAAAAACAGCAAAGTTATAATTTTTTTTCATTTATTTTTCCGATTGTTCCCATGGGAGCTATATGCTATAGTCGTCCGATCCGGCTCGTTCCGACTTATATACTACCTGCAATAGGAAGACAACTTTTGGGAAAGTTTCATGCAGATAGCTTTAAAACTGAGAGACTAGTTTGCATATAAACGGACGGACAGACGGACAGACGGACAGACGGACAGACGGACAGACGGACGGACAGACGGACAGACGGACATGGCTAGATCGACTCGCCTAGTGATGCTGATCAAGAATATATATACTTTATAGGGTCGGAGATGTCTCCTTCACTGCGTTGCAAACTTCTGACTGAAATTATAATACCCTCTGCAAGGGTATAATTAAGTTTTCAACGCTAAGTGCTATGCAAACACGTTTTCTCTCTGGTTAAATTGCTTGCCTTTTGCATATGTAAATACAGTTTTCATGCAAATTCATTTAGTGGAAATGAAAGTAGAGAAGTTTTATGGCTTAATTGCCAAAAGCACTATAATTATGTATGACTTATTTTGAATGCCGGACAGGAAGCATATTTTGATGGCAATTATAAAAGCGTGGGCACACATATTTTGCTTGTTTATGTCATATTTCAGGAGCCCATTTGCAATTGCTTATTTAAGTTCTGTAATTATTTAACAAACCCATATATTTTGTTATTTCAGAACCACCATGCGACAGACTTTACGACACATCCCCAGCGAAATGTCCAAACGAAACGGATTCCATCAGCAGAAGGCCCAAACCAGCCGACCCATTAAATAAATTGCCAATAAAAAAAAATATAAACAAATTTACGAATATTTACCAAACTCAAGGAAAGACCCTTTGAAGTGCGAAAAAAGAACGCGAAAAGGAGCGGCAACGAGAACTCCCAGAAGGAGAGGGAGAAGGTTCGTTTTTTCCGTGGAGAGAGTGATAGAAAGCCGCCAAAATTACGACGTACCACCCACCCACGCCCAAAGTCAAACAGAACCCGGCCAACACGGACGCCATGTCCGGGCCGGGGGCGTTTGACGATGAGCCGCCGCCGGAGCCGCGGGACGGATGGCTACTGGTGCGCATCCACGTGCCGGAGCTGAATGTCTACAAGTGTCTGCAGTTCCCATCGGAGCGGCTCGTCTGGGATGTCAAACAGCAGGTGCTCGCCTCGCTGCCGAAGGTATGTCGGTCACTGTCATTACCAAAACAATTATCATTATCTCGCAGTGTATATAGAGCAGTGCATGTCTCATGTGCGCTAGAAACTCACTAAACGGGGAAAAAACATCTACAACTTGGGCCCTTTCTATAAAAAGTTAATGAGTATTATGCAAAATATACTTTAATTATTAATGCTTAGTTAATTCCACTAATATTTATCAATTCATTTGAATGACAGAAATTTATTTTGAAAGTTGTAAATATTGTACAATCAGTTATCGATCTTAGACATAACCAGTTTCCAATTCTTCCTCGTAGGCGAATAGAAGTTCCACATAGTAGGACCAAACCACTAACCAGGCGTACAGCAAAATAACTATTCGAAAAAAGATTAGTTAAATAAATAAAAATATAGAACAAATTTGATAAAAAACCCACACATTGTGATGACTGTCAGGGTTATTATCACCCAATTGAAGGCATAGACTGTCAAGGACAGAATGTGAACCAGTATCCAAATTGGCGTAAAACCCAGAAAGGGTAAAAAGAGCATCTCATTGTTCTAATAGGGAAAATAAATGGAATAAATTAAATCCTTAAAGTGATTTTAAGTTTTATTCCTGAAAATTGAACTCTGAATATTGGGGTTACAATTTTACCACTTGGCAGACTTTTTAAGTTATAATAACAATTTGAAAACCAAAGAAACTTACATTATGCACTCCAAGGCAGAGCATTGCAGAGACTATGATTCCGAAAAAGGAGAAAACCATAGTGGCCTTGAGGGCAGCCGGTGCTGCGAAGATCGACCGCTGGTACTCCGCCGGGAAGATGCACTCCATCATGAAGCCGGTGCCAATGGTGATGTAGACAAACCAGGTGAGGAAGATGCAGCCAAAGAGCAGCACCCCGAATCGCAGGGAATAGCAGAAGCAGCAGTTGGTGAAGATCTGTTTCAGATATCTGCAGCGACACGCCATGGTGTAGGTTATTCAAAAATTGCTCTACAAATTCTAAACAAAAAATTTCTATAACTTGTTGAGTAAATAGAATTTTTGACACTGTCCGATTATTTATCTACTTCGACTTTGTATACAGTAGACAAATTAAAAGATGATGACTAGATCAGATAGAATCGTCATATTCCACACTGCCGAGATATTTGAAGAAAGCATGCACTATCATCAGAGAGTACACCAACCCAACTATGGGAATGAGGTTAAATATTAATTCACATTTAGAATATATAATACGAATACCCACCAATAATCACCACCTGAACAGTCAATATAATTGGAGGAGGTTTGACCTTCACTAGCGCGACAATGGCCAATATAAAGTACAAGAAGAGTATAATCACGTATACTACTAGCCAGAGAAGAACAAATCCTCGTTTGCGCTAAATAGTTAATAGGTTATATCAGTAGTCTCCAGCTGAATCGAAGAATAACCGTCTCACCTTGGCGGCCGCATAGACGAGCAGGATAGAGCTTAGAGTTCCAAAAACCAGGACCGGAGACATGACGACTGGACTCCAGGATTTGTTGGACACCTCCCTGATAAATATTGTGTCGTTCGTATGCGTTATTAGCTCCCCAACATGGAAAATGATGAAGATCCCGCCAATGATCATGCAACCTACGTTTAGGGGCAAAAAAAAGCAACACCGCTTAAAGAACATACTGTTAAAATCACAGTACTTTGGGGTGAATACAATTATTTATGATTTTCTACATGAATTTTGATCGACAGTCTTAAATGCAAAGATCAGTTGATCTTGATATATTTTTAAAGTAGGGAAATGGAACTAATGAAACAATGAATCAGGTATATGAAATTTATTTCTGTCTGCAAAGTGGCGAAATTTTGAACTAAACTAATTTGGGTGACCCACACAAAAAACCAATTACAGCCGAAATGCAATGCAATTTTTTTTACCACTTTTTGTTGATTGAAATTTTATCCGGCTAAAGGCTGCCACGTGCCCTTACAACATAAAATCGGTCACGCCCCCCTGCCCTCGAATGGCTGCCAAATGCCCTCGTGAAGTTTCAATTTTTTGAAGTTCAATGCAATTTTCCGGCACAACTGCAGTGTCTGAAGTCGTGCGCCCAACCAGAAATCGTGACGCTGCAGATTCAAAGATATTTGACAATTGAATGGCAGTCTGTCAAGAAAGAAAAAAAAAAACCATCTAGAAGGAAGGTTAGATTGGTAATGAAATGAATGTAACCAATACTAAGATATTTATAGATCAAATTAAACATTTTTTGAAAATCTTGAAAAGAAAAAAGAAATAAAATGTGTGTTTAAGGGATAAAGTTCAAAAACTAAAATAAGGTGAACAGATAACTTATGTTAAACACCTCGGAAGTGAAAATCTTTCTTTCAGTAATCTTAGTGTTTCCAAAGAGGGGCTAATCCTTGTCCATTGTGTAAATGAAGGCCCAACAATGGCCAATCAATTGTATACATTTAATAACAATTTGTTGAGCAAATTGCTGTCGAAACATTGTCAAACGCAATTCCAATACGGGGGCCGCCCCCATTTCAATATTGAAACCGCAAAATTGCAAACGGAAATTCGGTGCGAAACCCAGACCCCAGTCGAAACAAAAACAACAACTGAAACCGAAACCTAAGCTGATACCGAACTCGAAATCGCACAGGAATCGATTCGATTGGAAGTGAACTGCGCTGAACCGAACACAATGACCCCCAGCTAATTGCATGGCCCGGTCTCTCGTGCCGGTTCCGTTTTCAATTTGGTCAATTCCAGTTCGACGTGGCAAGTGACAGACTCTGCCTTGTTTTTGTATTTCGGGGGCGCTCATTGGGGCGTGGGGGCGTGGCTGTTCTGGTTGTAGTGTCAGCTAGCAGCTTTGTAAATTATGTTGTAAATTTTGATCGGGTGTGGGAACCAAATGCTTCCTGTGCTATTCAAACTGTTATTCGGGTGATATAAGTTCGCACTGGCAGGTCCTGGGTTGAAAATGGCTTGTGTTTACTTTTGGAATTTCGTTTAAAATTTATTTAAGAGTTTTATTTTTTCGAACTTCTTATCTCTGTACTTTATTTCTCAAATTTTTGTTCTTATTTTTTTATATATTGGTTTTATGAACGAACTTTGGGAATTTATTTCTTAAACAAGTTTCTTATGGAAACTTTTCGTCTTTCAACAATAAATCACTCTTTATTTAAAATATATATGACTATATATGCTAAATTATATGTTTATTGAACCCCCATAGACCATTCCTGATTCCCATGAGCTATTCCACCTGGCTTTCAGATTTAAAAAACGTGAAAGCATATCAGGTTGTCGACACATTTCCTGCTTCCACAGTCGTATATCAATCAGCGTACTGGCCGCATATCTTATCGCAGGTTTTCTCTTGCGACTGAACATAGAACCCCCTATAAACGTACCCATATATAGCCAACAGCCTGTCATAAAGAATACGATTCATGCCATCATGGCGCAAATATTTGCAGTCCAATTGAGGTGTTTCTTCTTTTCACATTTTTGCTCAACCTTTTGAGAGCCTTTGGTAACTGAAGAACGGTTGAGTAAATCCCGGAGACCAAGACAAACGTGAATGGCAATAATTTTACATTTTATCGGTCGACGTCCGTTATCGGGACACCTGACGATGGCGGCGGGCTCTATAAATGTGTTATTATTAGGTCTGGCGTGGAATTCGCTTTCAATGACCGATCCGCGTTGATCAAACGGAGCTTCAATTAAACTTCACACCATCCATCAATCAGTCAAACAGTCTGTCAGTCAGTCACTCAGCCAATATGTCGCTGCTCCAGTTCACTGTTGTGTGTGGGCCTCTGGCATCTCGGCTTCCGCCTGCTAAGCAAATCGAAATTGAAGCTTTTCTGATCTGTATTCGCTTTTGTATTTTTAGCTGGGTTTTTGCCTCGATTTCTGGGTAGGCGTTACTTACCGGTTTGCGTCTAAGTTGTTTTGCTTGTAATGCTCCACGGGCTTTGTTTGGCCCGAAGTTCAGCTCAGTTAATAAACAACTTTAGCTCATGGCGATAAGAAACCAGTAAGGAAAGCTTAGCCGCAGATGGATTTCTTGGTGGCTCAATTTTGGTCTAAGGTAGCAATGGAAAATACGTGTAGGGAACATTTTTAATGGAATTACGATAAGAAAACGAAAGGTAATGGTTATTGGAAATGTTTCAACTGTTTCACAATTACCTTAAAATTATATGTTAAAGACTTTAAATTATTTTATAAGTGTGTATTCTAACCCTGAAGGAAACTGTCTTTAATTTAATTTTCAAAACTTTGTTGTAACAAAAGTTCAACTTAGTTGGATAAAGTGCAAGCAAAATTCCACCATAAATCAGCCAAAGACTAAAGCATTCAAAGGGGATTTCTAATCGAATGCTCTTAACTTTCCAACAAGAATAGACAGACAGACAGATAGACAGACAGACAGGATAACTAAAAGTGCATGAGGCAGAAAGGAAGGCAAAAATTGCTTTTAGCCAACAGTAATTGTGGTCTGCGAAATCGTATATGTGTTTGGTAAAGAAAGATTTTCCTATAAGCTACACCCGCAACTTTAATCAATTTAAGACATTTTTGTTCAAAATAAACACAATAAATCTTGAGCTAAAATTGCCTAGAAACCAACAATGGCAATTAAGCTTAGAAAATGGGCAATGCCCTAATTAAGCCAACTTAATGTGTAGTTTCAAATCACATGCAGAGAGTTGACTGCCTAAAAGTCTTTTGGGAATTACTGCGAAAACTTTAGCGCTGCCTCGAATATTTTCAAAATATAGACATTTTGCACAGCACTTGTGTCTATATAAGACCCCCTTTGTACTTCTTCGCCCATCCAATCTCTGGGCGCTCGTTAGATTTAATGACGCCGCATAGTTTGCGCACGCACGACATCATTTCAGCGACTTTTTGTCCCACTCCCACTCCCGCGCCCTGTTCCCCTTTCCTTTCTTTCTCCTCCATCTCTCATTCAGCTTAAGTGGCATAGAGACCTAGTTGCAGGACCCATCTGCGTCTATATCTGGGGGCCCGTCTCTCTGCCCATTGAACCGTTAATTTGGGTGAGAACTTTACTTGGCCCCGCCATCGCATTATTCATTCGGGCCGCCTAGCAAAACGCCAGAATGTCACATACTTTTGTGGATAATTTCGCTCCCTTTGGAGGGAAGGGCTTCCTGCCAGGCTCAAGCCATTGTTCGCAGCAATAAAGATGCTGCCGATAGAGCGCTCCCTGCACTCGATTGGGTAAAAGTCCTCGGCTGAGATTGAATTCTCTACTAGGAGCAAATGGGGAAGGCAATAGGAGCTGGGAACAATGAAGTGGTAAAGTTTTATAACCATTTGAGGGCATAGGGAACAATGTGTATATGTTTAAGGCATGTAAAGGTCATGGCATGTAGTATAGAACGCATAAATATTCGAGTATCCCACTCGCTGTATGCAAATTTCTCATGCTTTACTTCAGAGCATAACAAAAAAATTCACAACACAACAGCATGCAGCCATCATAAAGTGTACAAAAAATAAACTTAAATTAAATAAAATTCATAAAAAGAGTTTTATGACATTTGCCTTGCTCACTCGGGCTTACATTGCGTATGCGTGATATGTAAATTGTATGTAGGCTAAACATGTAAATTCCATCCTATATACAAGTCAGTGTATATGTACAAGAGAAAATTTACATGCACAAAACGAGAGCATTGTTTTGCGGCATGACATCCACAACAACATCAACCATCGCCGGTAACAAGATTCCTCGTTATTAATTAAAATGTTTTGTTTTCATTAATTTCGGTGCTGCTCCTGGCGTTTTTTATTTAATTAAATGTCAAACAAATTAAAAATTAAAACGTGGAACAAATAAAACACACGTGGCCTGCTTTGGATGAATTCAACAAATTGTAAAATGGAAATGTTGTGGCAACCCACGCTACGTATACGCAATCTGACCTGCTGCACTGCGTTGGAATCAATGAACAAATAAATACTGATTAAATTTACACGCCGCAATGTTTGACTCTCATCTGATCCGATATCGTCTTCTGGCAATCGCTGCGAATCATTGGCGCAGGTGGCCTTTTGGTTTAAGGTTTGTGGCTGATTATAATACACCCATTAATACTTACTTACTTACATATGCCAAGATAATACCATGAATAATTAATACTTGCGGTCCACAAGGGAATGTTTAATTGTTTGGAAAGACAGAATTAAACAAACCAATCGTATACATTGAAAAAATAATGGAAAAATGTATATATATTGAAATTATGCCAAAATGAAATTATAATTTAACTGAAACATTTTTCTTCTTTCCAATTATTTACGTTTCAAGACTCAATGACATGCATTGAGCTACACAAAGGATCATTAATTTGTTGTAGAATGAACTACAATTGAAAACAATTTCCATTAAAATAATTTTATTCTCAAATAATATGCAAATCATTTATTGTAAGACATTTGCTTTCCTTGCTGCAATATGTATTTATTAATTTTAAAGTTTAAGTTTAATTTTAATTGACACGAAGCCCGCAGCGACAGTCGGTCGAACACCTACGCAAATATTTGGTTGCAAGTTGCAACACTCGTTTTTCGCTGTTTTCCACCAGCGAGACAACGAGGCACATTCAGTTCCAACTACGAAATGTGTCAAGTACAGCAAACAGTAACAGATTTATGGCTGGGAGTCGGAGGACCCCTCTAACGCCGCCAAGCCCGAACACACGCGACCAGGAACTGTTTTTCCATACACCTCGACCCCCCCTGGAGTACCCAATCTCCGCCAACTCCTCCCTTGTAATTCAATTAAAATGCAAAAAAAGGAATAAGGCGCTTCAGGCATTCGCAAATGGAGCAAGAAAAAATATAAAAACGAGAGGAGGGGCAGGGCTGCTTCAAATGGATATGTATCCATGACCACTGTGAGTGGTTTCTTTTTTGCCTGCGGACAGTTCTCGATAACATTATCGTGAACAGACTGTGACCACAGAATATTTCAACAAAATTTCTGACATTTTATCAGCAGGCAAACAAATAATTTACAAACTGGCAAAACAACAAGAAAAAACCCAAATATTTCGGTGAAACTTTTTGCCTGTTTGTTTTACTTTTATTTCAATGTGAATTTGGGAATCTCGCGTATAATAACCATTTATTATGCTGTTTCTCAGGTTGTTAATTTTTTGAGGATTTAAATGTACAAAACCAGCTTTTCTTTCTTTGTTAATTTTTTGTATTCATAATTTTTTTGGCTAACAATTTAACAGGTCAACCAACTTAAATAAATTAAATCCGATAGACAAATCGAATTGTGTAAGTCGCCCTCCAAACGACCTTGACTCTGAAATTACATTTATTTCTGTGCTTTTATCGCTTCATGTATCAATGAAAGTTGCATAAAGCGAGGTAATTGACTTGAACAATAATAGCGGGACAACAACAAAAAACTGGGGAGTGCTACAGTTCAGACAAAAGCAAAAAGTAATTGTAGTGATTTGATTTTAGCAAAAAAAAGTAAAAAGCCACCCTTGTTGACATTCAAACTAAAAGAAAATAATGGCAGAAAGTAAACAAAAACATTAGTTACAGTCCTTTTAAAACTGTGATTATTAAATGCGTCAGAATCCACAGGAATTAAAGTGAAATAAATAGCTTTAATTAATATAATATTGGAATTTTTCTTAATTGCATTATTGTAATAAACATTTTGAAGTGATAATACTTTAGTTTGAATTTATGATATTGTCACGTAATACGGTAACGCAATTTTATTTTTTTTTTGCAAAAACTACTATTTTCAGTAAATCAAAATATGCATTTGAGTTGGCGTTTAAAAAATGATTATAAGTTACACAAGTTTATAACTTACAGGTTTGGTGTCCATTACCATAAACTTATGCTAAAACCACTAATTGCTTTTAATATAAAAAAATAAAACATAAAAAATACTTGTTTAAATACTGTAGCTCTGAGAGTTTTACACCGCCAATGA